ACAAACGGAACGCAATAGTCCACTTGGAATAAAACCATAATTCCATAGGAACACAGGAGGAATCCAATACTTGTCAAAAAGGTTGGTTTCCTGAGAGCTCGCAAGGGTCTTCGAAGACTCCTTTAGCTGTATTTGCACACCCCACACGTATCCCTGAAGATTCCCGAGGGCCCCCGAGGACTCCAAAGGAATCCTAATTTGCAGGACTCCGTCGGATTCCCCAGGGTGCTGAATCCTTTGGAATCCTCAGGAACCTTCGGGGATTTTCAGGAATTCACAGGGCTCCACTGGATGTTTCAGGGGTCTCGAATGATCATCGGTGGCCCTCGTGAATCTTCAGGGCCTCTCCGGAACCTTCGGCAATTTTCTAAAATCCTCAGTCATCCTCAGGAATCCTCGGGCGTCCTCTGGGACGAAGGGCTCCCAAGACCGCCCCAGATCGGTCACAGAGGCCCCCCAAGCGGGCCAAATCACGGCCGTAGAGGGCCCTAAGACGGCCCAAGACGCTTCCAAGAAGGTCCAACAGCGTGTCTCTATCCTGAAACTCCCTCTGGCCTGCGAGCCGCAGCCCCTGACCCAGACCGAGGGGAAAACTAACCTGCGATCGTTGCTCCCGGCCGCCTTCGCGTTGCCAGGGCGACGGGCGTGTGTCAGGCCTGGAGGCTGGAAGACGGCCTCCAGGGTCGGGGGTTTTCTGACCCAGGTCAATCCAGACCCGGGTCAGCAGGAAACCAAAAACTGCAATGCAGGAAGAAAAAACTGCAACGCAGGTCTTCGCAAACCCGGGTCAGCCAATACAAGCGGCCGAATCGCGGCCACGAGCGGCTCGCTAACCCGGGTCAGCCAGAGGGGGTCTTCGCAGGATCCTGCAGGATCTGGACCCCCGTCTGCACTGACCCCCGTCTCGAGGCTCCCGACAGGGGCTTCGGCCGATTCCACCGGCGACCCGAAGAGCTCCCAAAATCCACCTCTCGTTGGACAAATCGCTTCCAAGACGGCCAGGAGGCCTCGCCGCCGCTGCCGCGATCATGCGGCAAGGCGAGCGAAGCAAGCCACCTGTTCGAAGGCCCGTCGGCCCCGAGCACGTCTTGACGCAGGGCTCGTTGGCCGTGCCGGCAGCTCTGGCGGAGGAACGGACAGAATAAAGGTCGAGAGCAGGAGGAGGAGGAGGAGCGAGGGGGAGGAGGAGGAGTAGGAGGAGAAGGAGGAGGAGGAGGAGCGAGGAGGAGTAAGAGATGGAGCAGGAGGAGGAGCAGGAGGAGGAATAGCTGGAGGAGGAGGAGGAGGAGGAGGAGGAGGATGAGGAGGAGGAGGAGGAGGAGGAGCGAGGGGGAAGAGGAAAAACACGGCGAGCAGACGCCAACATGCTGGAGGAGAGGGGCGATACAGAGGCAGCAGCAGGCAAGCGCGCACGTTGGGGGTGGGCGGGAGGCGGGAGGGGGCAGTGGATCGTGGGTCGTGGGTAGTGGGAGCGGGAGGCGGGAGGGCGTCGTGGGTCGTGGGTCGTGGGTAGGAGGAGGAGGAGGAGGAGGAGGAGGAGGAGGAGGAGGAGGAGGAGGAGGAGGAGGAGGAGGAGGAAGAAGGGGGGGGGGCCTGAGGGTCGTCACAGCAGGGCTCGCCGGGCGTCAGGCGGAGCGGGCGGCCCAAGAGGGCCCCAAAACGGCCCCAAGGGTGGGAACACGAATTGAAAACGCTAGCCTTCCGAACCCAAGAGGCGCCCAGGTGGTCCCAAGAAGCCCCCAAGAGGCCCCAAGAAGCCCCCACGAGGCCCGCAAGAGGCCCGCAAGAGGCCCCCAAGCGGCTCAAAAGAGGCCCCAAGAGGCCCCACAACCGCCCCTGGAAACTTCAAAAGTGACTTCAGGCCCCCGAGAGGCCTCGACGCGATCCTAACGACCATCCAGGAGGCCACAGAGCCACAATTCAGGCACGATGGCGGGATGTGCCGAATGCCATTCAATAAATCCTTCGCCGTCAGAAGCGCCCCCCCCCCTAGAGAGGACTGAGGGGAGTCCCCCCTTGTCTGAATTCCGGGGCTAACATTAAGACCCGCCCGAAAGCATCCGAGGCTGCAAAACCGCTAGGAACCGACGATAACACCGAAAACCTCGAACCTCGAAATCGAACCCGAAACTCCCTTCGGCGTGCCGCCGAATGGCCCCCCTGCGCCGTGCGCGCTGTGCACTCTTGGACACGGGCAGGGGCCTGCCCTATTCTACATCGTGGCCCACCTCGTGGCCTACTCGGCGAGGCGCGGCCGCTGAAGAGCCAACGTAAGCCGCGGAGACCCACGAACGAGCAAGCGAAAGCCCTGAATCGAGCAAGGGATCGACAACATATTGACTTGCCCTAGGATTGACGTTCCATCGAATCCACGAACAAACATGCGTAGAACATGATAGTAGATATACGAACGTTCTACGTACTTGTTCGTGGATTCTGGGGTAACCAACAAGCACTGATACTGCTACTCCAGGGACCTCTTCCAGGGTGCGTTCAGACCATTGAAACTCGAGGCGAATCCAGCGGTGGCGACGAGGGCCTCCAAGGAGGCTCAAAGAGAGAACGAGAAAAGGTCGCGGTATGGGTACCTCTTCCTCCTCCTCGACTCCAGCGCCGCCCCTGGCGCGCTCCGCGCGCCAGGGAGGGGGGCCCAGCGCGGATCCAAGAAATCCGCGCGGAGCGCCAACAGTCTATGCTCATGTGGCTTTTTCTTCTTCGAAGACGGGGTCCGAGCACATGGTGTCGGAGGTGCGCGGCCGCCTCGGCGACGCAGGCCATGCATTGCCGCCGTCGGCGTGGCGAAGACCGGGCTCCGCAGGGAGCTGCTTCGCCGAAACATCGGCGACGCGGCGCGATCCTCCGACCCCAGCGGCTCGAACCCCACCTGGGTGGCCTAGATTTGAATCGGGCGTGACCCTCTACAGGGGAATATTCAAAAATAGTCTAGTTACCCTGGCGACGTACCCAACCCCTGCGCAAAGCGGGGCATAAGTAGCATGGGAGACGCTACAGGGAGGCGATGACGTGACATGGGTACATATACTTCTGCGAGCGGCATTCGTGAGGCTCGCAGCCCCCCAAGGATTGCAAGGTCCCGCTCAGATCCGCGCGGTGCCTCACTCCGCTGGACTCACCACCAGCCCTCGAAAATTGGGACAATTCGCAGATCGCAGCCCCCCAGGGACGGCGAGCTACCGCTCAGACCCGCGCGGTGCCTCACCCCGCTGGACTCGCCACCAGCCCTCGAAAAAATGGCGACAATTTCGCAGATCGCAGGCCCCCCAGGGACGGCGAGCTCTCGCTCAGATCTGCGCGGTGCCTCACTCCGCTGGACCCACCAGCAGCCCTCGAAAGTGGTGACACAGTTTTGCAGATCGCAGCCCCCCAGGGACGGCGAGCTACCGCTCAGACCCGCGCGGTGCCTCACCCCGCTGGACCCACCAGCAGCCCTCGAAAGTAACGCCAAGTTCGCAGATCGCAGCCCCCCAAGGACGGCGAGCTACCGCTCAGATCTGCGCGGTGCCTCACTCCGCTGGACCCACCAACAGCCCTCGAAAAAGGCGCCAATGTCGCAAATCGCAGACCCCCAGGAACGGCGAGCTACCGCTCAGATCCACGCGGTGCCTCACTCCGCTGGACCCACCAGCAGCCCTCGAAAAAGGCGACAATTTCGCAGATCGCAGCCCCCCAGGGACGGCGAATTACCGCCCAGATCCGCGCGGTGCCTCACTCCGCTGGACCCACCAGCAGCCCTCGAAAGTGGCGACAATTTCGCAGAATGATCGCAGCCCCCCAGGGACGGCGAGCTACCGCTCAGATCTGCGAGGTGCTTCAGCCCACTGGACCCACCAGCAGCCCTCGAAAGTGGCGACATTTTCGCAGATCGCAACCCCCCACAGACGGCGAGCTACCGCTCAGGTCCGCGCGGTGCCTCACTCCGCTGGACTCGCCACCAGCCCTCGAAAAAATTGCGACAATTTCGCAGATCGCAGCCCCCCAGAGACAGCGAGCTCTCGCTCAGATCTGCGCGGTGCCTCACTCCGCTGGACCCACCAGCACCTCTCGAGAATGACAACAATTTCGCAGATCGCAGCCCCCCAGGGACGGCGAGCTACCGCTCAGACCCGCGCGGTGCCTCACTCCGCTGGACTCACCAGCAGCCCTCGAAAGTGGCGACAATTCGCAGATCGCAGCCCTCCAGGGACGAAGGAGGTCCCGCTGATGTCCGCGCGGTGCCTCACTCCGCTGGACCCACCAGCAGCCCTCGAAAGTGGCGACAATTTCGCAGATCGCGACCCCCCCGAGGACGGCGAAGTACCGCTCAGGTCCGCGCGGTGCCTCACTCCGCCGGACCCACCAGCAGCATTCGAAAGTGGCGACAATTTCGCAGATCGCAGCCCCCCAGGGACGGCGAGCTACCGCTCAGGTCCGCGCGGTGCACCACTCCGCTGGACCCACCAGCAGCCCACGAAAGTGGCGACCGTTTCGCAGATCGCAGCCCCCCAGGCAAAGCAAGACGAGACAAGAAGGATGGGGGGGGGGCGGGAGGCAGGAGGCAGGAGGCGGGAGGCGGGAGGAGGAGAAGAAGGGCTCGACCGCGGTTTTCTATTCAAGACGAATACCCAACCAAGGAGGGTTGGGAAATAATCAGGGGACGATGTTTTACTATTTATTGATTGCTCAAAAAATATTATGGGGTATCCTTTATTTTTCTTCTAGAATCCCCCTCGAGGACACGCCCGACCTACGCCTAGATTCCAGACCCCCGGCGTCATAACTGTTTCATGACGTCGACCTCCAGGGGTCTCCCCAGGACAGAGTTTTCATCCTGGGTCCTTTCTTGACGGCCCCGAGGTCCGGCAAGGGCCCCGGGGAGGCCGAAGCTGGCGAACAAACCATCCGCCGAGACTTTGTCACAGCCCCAGGCTTCAAGACGCCGCGCCCACTGCTGGACGATGGGCCCGCGGCGGCCGCGCTGCCGGCCCGCCGCAGGGGCCGGCCTGATGGACTTCAGCGGCGGCACCCGCGGCCTGCCCTCGGCCCCGGCCTGCTGCGGCTGCAGCGGCCCGGGCGGCGCGGCGGCGCCCTGGGGCGGGCCGGGCTTCTGGGTGCGGGCCACGGGGGCGCCCGGAGATCCGGGCGCTGCGATCCTCTAGGTCGCCCAGCTTCGTGCACCGCGCCCAGCAGTGCGCAGCGCGCGATTCCCTTCGCACCCTCGCGCCCCCGTGCCGCCTTCTCGCGTTCTCGGAGCAGGGCAGCCGCTCTGGCCCACACTGGCCGTCGCTCGGACGTCCATTTCCCGTGCATTTGTTCGGTTTGGTGCGTGTTTTTTTGTTGCTCGATGGTCCAGGATGGTCTTCGGTGGTTCTCGCTGAGAAAAAGTGCACACGTCCGAGCGATGCCGAGCACACGGTGGCGCGCGAGGCGCGGTTGTCTTCGCACTCGCCCAGAGGACTTCACGCTGGGCGCTCTCGCCATAGGCTTCGGGCGACGGGGGCCGGCCCAGGTCGACCGGGCACGAAAATCACCGCAGGAAGATTGGGCTCAAGGTTTACAGTCGGGGCGTTGACCTAAGGAACGATAAATAAGGAGCGAGGCTCCTTTTTATGAAACTCCGATTTTCCATAGAAAAACTCAGGAAAACCCGAGGAGCACTGTAAAGCAACTAAGGAACACGGAACCCCTCCCCAACAAGCAGGGTTCCTTCTTCAGGGCCCCGACTGTAGGGTTCCAGTCGCTATTTTCCGCGATGTTGAATTTTCTTCGCAGCGTCGGATCTCCGGGGTTGCGCTGGTGTGTACAACAGGCGTTGGACGGGCGGGGCAGCCGATGGTGGGATGGGAGGGGGAAGGGTTTGGAGGAGAGGGAGGTGAGGGAGGGGAGAAAGGGTGGGGGGGTAGGCGGAGGAGGGGGGATCCGAAGGTGATGGAAGGAAGGAGGGGGGGGTGGAAGGGAGAAAAGGGGAGGGGAGGAGATATTTCCGGGCCGCGGGAAGCTAGGTCCCCCCTCCTAGTCTTAGTTTCCCTCCTCCTCCTCCTCCTGCAAACTGAAGTGGATGCTCGAATGATAATACCGTGACATCATCCAAGGGTTCCCCATGACAAGTGAGGATGACAAAACACGATTGATCAGCTCCTCCTCATCCTCCTCATCCCATCTCTTCCCTCCGCCCCCTTCCCTCGTCCATCCCTCTCCTTCCTCTCTGCTACTCCCCCCTCCTCCGACGGGGGCATGGATCATCCTGTGCCTCCCCCACCACCTTCCTCCCAACGTCCAAAAAACTGGGCCGACGTGCGAATTCCGCCACGGGGACCTTAGGCGGAACTCCCTGTGGGGACACGGAACGGTGTGCTGGGTGGTGGATGACGCATGCGGACGGTCCCTCTGGGACCTTCGGTGGAACCCACTTATGGGGCCACGAAGCGCTGTACTGGGTGGTGGATGACGCATGCGGGCGGCCCCACTGGGGCCTTCGGTGGTGCTCTCCATGGGGCCACGGAGCGCTGTACTGGTGGTGGGTGACGCATGCGGGCGGTCCCACTGGAGCCTTCGGTGGAACTCCCGATGGGGCTTCGAAGTGTTGTGCTGGGTGGTTGACGCACGCGGGCGGTCCCACTGAGCCTTCGGTGGGGGTCGCCGTGGGGCCACGAAAGGCTATGCTGGGTGGTGGATGACTCATGCGGGCGGTCCCACTGGGGCCTTCGTCGGTGGCGCCCCCTGTGGGGCCACGACACGTTGTGCTGGTGGACGACGCATGCGGGCGGTCCCAATGGGGCCTTCGGTGGATACCCCCAATGGGGGCCACGAGGCGCTATGCTGGGTGGTGGTTGACGCACGCGGGTGGTCCCACTGGAGCCTTCGGTGGAGCTCCCCATGGGGCCACGAAGCGCTGTGCTGGGTGGTGGATGACGCATGCGGGCGGTCCCACTGGGGCCTTCGGCGGAGCCCCCATTTATGGGGCCACGAAGCGCTGTACTGGGTGGTGGATGACGCATGCGGGCGGCCCCGCTGGAGCCTTCGGTGGATCTCCCTATGGGGCCACGAAGCGCTGCGTTGGGTGGTGGATGGCGAACGCGGGCGGTCCCACTGGGGCCTTCGGTGGAGCCCCCTTATGGGGCCACGAGGCGCTGTACTGGGTGGTGGATGACTCACGCGGGCGGTCCCACTGGAGCCTTCGGTGGAGCTTTCTATGGGGCCAAGAAGCGCTGTACTGGGTGGTGGATGACGCATGCGGGCGGTCCCACTGGGGCCTTCGGTGGAGCCCCCTTTATGGGGGCACGAAACGCTGTGCTGGGTGGTGGATGACGCATGCGGGCGGTCCCACTGGAGCCTTCGGTGGGTCCCCCTATGGGGCCACGAAGCGCTGTGCGGGGTGGTGGATGGCGAACGCGGGCGGTCCCACTGGGGCCTTCGGTGGAGCCCCCTTGTGTGGCCACGAAACGCTGTGCTGGTGGACGACGCATGCGGGCGGTCCCACTAGGGCACTCGGTGGAGCTCCCCATGGGGCCACGAAGCGCTGTGCTGGGTGGTGGATGACGCATGCGGGCGGTCCCACTGGGGCCTTCGGTGGAGCCCCCTTTATGGTGGCACGAAGCGCTGTACTGGGTGGTGGATGACTCACGCGGGCGGTCCCACTGGAGCCTTCGGTGGAGCTCTCTATGGGGCCAAGGAGCGCTGTACTGGGTGGTGGATGACGCATGCGGGCGGTCCCACTGGGGCCTTCGGTGGAGCCCCCCATTATGGGGGCACGAAGCGCTGTGTTGGGTGGTGGATGACGCATGCTGGCGGTCCCACTGGAGCCTTCGGTGGAGCTCCCTATGGAGCCACGGAACGCTGTGCTGGGTGGTGGATGACGCACGCGGGCGGTCCCACTGGGGCCTTCGTCGGTGGCGCCCCTGTGGGGCCACGAAACGCTGTGCTGGTGGACGACGCATGCGGGCGGTCCCAATGGGGCCTTCGGTGGATACCCCCTATGTGAGCCACGAGACGCTATGCTGGGTGGTGGTTGACGCACGCGGGTGGTCCCGCTGGAGCCTTCGGTGGAGCTCTCTATGGGGCCACGAAGCGCTGTGCTGGGGTGTGGATGACGCATGCGGGCGGTCCCACTGGGGCCTTCGGTGGAGCCCCCTTTATGGGGGCACGAAGCGCTGTACTGGGTGGTGGATGACGCATGCGGGCGGCCCCACTGGAGCCTTCGGTGGATCCCCCTATGGGGCCACGAAGCGCTGTGCTGGGTGGTGGATGACGTATGCGGGCGGTCCCACTGGGGCCTTCGGTGGAGCCCCCTTATGGGGCCACGAAGCGCTGTATTGGATGGTGGATGACTCACGCGGGCGGTCCCGCTGGAGCCTTCGGTGGAGCTCTCTATGGGGCCAAGGAGCGCTGTACTGGGTGGTGGATGACGCATGCGGGCGGTCCCACTGGGGCCTTCGGTGGAGCCCCCTTTTATGGGGGCACGAAGCGCTGTACTGGGTGGTGGATGACGCATGCGGGCGGTCTCAGTGGGGTTTTCGGGGGAGCCCCCCATGGGGCCACGAAGCGCTGTGCTGGGTGGTGGACGACTCGCGCGGGCTGTCCCACTGGGGCCTTCTGTGGAGCCCCCTGTATGGGGCCACGAAGCGCTGTACTGGGTGGTGGATGACGCATGCGGGCGGTCCCGCTGGAGCCTTCGGTGGAGCTCTCTATGGGGCCACGAAGCGCTGTATTGGGTGGTGGATGATGCATGCGGGCGGTCCCACTGGGGCCTTCGGTGGAGCCCCCATATGGGGCCGCGAAATGCGGTGCTGGGTGGTGGATGACGCATGCTGGCGGTCCCACTGGGGCCTTCGGAGGAGCCCCCATGGGGCCACGAAGCGCTGTGCTGGGTGGTGGACGACTCGCGTGGGCGGTTCCACTGGGGCCTTCGGTGGAGTTCCCCATGGAGCCACGAAATGCTGTGCTGGGTCGTGGTTGATGCACGCGGGCGGTCCCACTGGGGCCTTCGGCGGAGCCCCCTTTTATGGGGCCACGAAGCGCTGTACTTGTGGATGACGCAGGCGGGCTGTCCCACTGTGGCCTTCGGTGGAGCCCCCTTCATGGGGCCACGAAGCGCTGCGCGGGGTGGTGGTTGACGCACGCGGGCGGCCCCACTGAAGCCTTCGGTGGAGCTCTCTATGGGGCCACATAGCTCCGCACTGTCGAAGTGCAGGTGTTCGCACCGCCCGCGACGGCGATGGAAACCTCTAAGATCGTCCCAAAACAACGAGCTCAACAGGCCCTCCAACGGCAGCCAAGATGACCAATAGTCCCCAACATGAACCCCTCTGATGGCCACAGACGGCCTCAGCACAACCCAAACACACACACACACAAACACACAAACACACAAACACACACACACACACAACAAAACCCATGAAACCCTACAGAACCTGAACACGTTGGGGCTCATTGGGGCAATCTCAAGTTTCCTCGGAAGACCGGAAAACCTCATGTGGGTCGGTGGCAGTAGCGGCACCTCTTAACTACACTCCCACTCTGCCACGGAACGGGCCGATAGCAACCCAATCCGGGACGTTCCGTCCCACTCGTACGGGAAAAAACCGCATAACTCATTGTTGCGTCGACCACTTTGCAAACTACGTGGCGTGGAGGACATGTGGCGCACATCCCGCCCGAAAGGCTGACATGTCGTTCTCGCCTCGGCGCCTCGCTCCATTCTGCTGGGGCGCGGCGCACAAAATTTGCACGCTACTTGGCCGATGCGCGAGCAAGCGGAAATGTCGCTGTCGCCACGGCACCGCGCAGATTTCGCCAAAAAGTGGCGCGGCCGCCTCGACGCGGCGCATAACTTCAACTCGTCAACTGTCGGGGGCCGCCCGGAGGGGCGAATGGTCGCCCTCTCCCAAGCACCGTGCGCATCTTGCTTGGAAGGAGCGCTCCCGCGCGGGCAAAGGCGCGTGGTTCGGCCGCCGAATCGTACGAAAGCGACAGCGGCAGCGGGGCCGCGCGGGAGCGGGCAATCTAAAATGCCGACCTTGCCCCGGAGCCGCGCAGCCTGTGAGTGAAAGTGGCAGTGGTGTGTCAGCGCGGCGCGTGCTTCGCCTTCGCCACGCCCATCACTCTTGCTGCCGCTCCCGCCACTGCGCGGCCAACGTCATTTTCCCTCCGCCAAGTCTCGGGGATGGACAGAACCCCCTTTAGTAAAACGTGGTTTCGTGAAAACGACCTGAGGCCCAAACCTGGCGGGCGCAAGCCTGGAAAATAATGGCCACGGCGCCCTCTCGAAAACCGAAAACGGACAATTCACTAATCGACGTGTCACTGTTGGGGGTTCTGTCCACCCCCGAGAGGTGAGAACGCATTCCATCCGGAGTGTGCAACCATAGATCTTTCTGCTGTGAGAGGGGGGGGAGGATAGGCGGGGCCCCCTGACTCGCTCGACCTGGCCAGATTGACATCTACTTCATCCTTCTCCCCCTCCTCCTACTCTTCCCTCCTCCTCCCTCCCTCCCTCCTCCCTCCTCCCTCCCTCCTCCTCCCCCTCCTCCTCCCTCCCTCTTCCTCCCTGCTTCCTCCCCTCCCGCCCCTCCCTCCTCCCACCTTCCCGTCCCTCCGCCCTCCTCCCCTCCCACTCCGCCCCATCCGCCCACCCCCGTCTCCTCGGATCCCAAGCGCGCCGCGGCGACGGCCTCCTGGGAGGACGGCTGCGACTGGGAGAGCTGGTGCTGGGTGGGCACGGGCTGCGGCTGAGCCGCCTCGACCCATGCCACCGGCCCGTCCGGCCCAAAGGCGGCCGCGGCGGCGGCTGCATTCCCCTCCCCCCAGCCACGCCAGACGCGCCACCCTCCTCCTCAAACCTCCCCCTCCTCCTCCTCCTCCTCCTCCCTGCTCCCTGCTCCATCCTCCCTCCCTCCTCCCTGCTCCCTCCTCCTCCTCCTCCTGCTCCTCCTCCTGCTCCGCCTGTAACCTCCTCCTCCTCCTCCTCCTCCTCCCGCCTCTCCTCCAACTCCTCCTCCTCCTCCTCCTTCTCCTCGTCCATTTCCTCCTCCTCCTCCTCCTCCTCCTCCTCCTCCTCCTCCTCCTCCTCCTCCATCTTCCCTCCTCCCTCCTCCCGTGTCCTCCGTTCTCCCTCCTCCCCACTCCATGAGGTACGCAGACGCTATGCTCCATCGAATGAAACAGCCTCCCGCCTCCTCCCCCCTTGTCTTCCTCCCTCTTCCTCCTCCTCCTCCTCCTCCTCCTCCTCTTCCTCCTCCTCCTCCTCCTCCTCCTCCTCCGCTTCTCCCTCCCTGGCACAGGCTCCGCTTCTGCCTTCTTTCTCCCCGCCCACCCACCTCTTCTGTGGCCAAGTGCCCGAATATCGAAGATCGAAGGGAAGGTCGGGGATCGAAGATGAGATTGGCTGGCTTTCTCGGGCCTCAGGGTGTTGTGCGTGGCCACGGCTGGACGCGTCTCTAAACTTCTGGCCAGGACACACTAGGAGGAGGCCTCGGGGTCGACTGTTCAGGAATGGTACCCAGACCTCAACGTCGTCAAACAAAAGGCACAAACATCATCTCTGATTCTGGGCCTCCAGGTGCTGTTTTCGGGCACGGGAGCAAGTGAGCAACTACGCGAGACAAAGAACTGGCCCCAGAGAAGGTCGAGAACCCTGGGGGCGCGCGCATTGAACAAATCATGACATCGCAGGTCTCGGATTGTCCTGGTCAGAACGCGACCCAGCAGAAATCTCGGGTTCGACTGAGGCCATACGCTCCCCGCCGTGTTGGCAATGTTGGGTGTGTCTGCATCCGCGGGACTGCCGGCATCAACATATTAGACAAATTCTACAATTTGCCAAGAAGAATGGGGAAACCAAAAAGTGCCGATACCCCTACTCCCCAGACCTCTCCGGGGGTGCGTTCTCACCAGAATTTCGAAGCGAACCCAGCGGTGGCGACGAAGGCCTCCCAGGAGGCCCAGGAAGGCGAAACCGGGGCGAGGGTAGATGTCTGGGTACTAAATTTCCTCCTCTGGAAGAAGGCGACCCGGGCCGGGAAGGCGCGAAATCTTCGGAGCACGCGATGGTGAAGGCGAGGCCAAGGCAGGAGCCCTGCCGACCTTCCAGCATGGTCTGCAAGCGGAACGGGGCGTGCGGTCTGAGTTCGGCGGCGGCGCTGGGTGAGGACGGCGCGGGGAGCTCGGCGCGCGGTGCTGGGCTAGGCCTAGTGGACTATCCCAGAGATCCGACGTCGTGATATTTTCAATACCTGGCCCATGGACGTCTCGACCCATTCCCCAGGAGCGGCTTTTTCATCCTGGGTCGTCTCTTGACGTTCCCGGGGCCCGGCGAGGTCCCCTGGAAGCCGAAAGCTGCGGAAAACCTCCGTCTTGTTTTTTCCATACGTTGGATCCCTGGGACTTTGTCAGTCCTCCGCGAAGAGCCAGGCGCGCTGTCCGATCCTGGCGGTGCCACACGCACGCGCGCCCCGCACACGCTCAGGTGCGGGGCGCTTGCCGGCCCTGGCGCAGCGCCACGAGCAAGCGCTTGTGCGCATCTCGCAACGGCGCGGCTTCTCGGCAAGGGCCAAGCACCTGCAAATGGGGCGTTAGTAAACGGGGTGGTAGCTAAGGGGCCTGTTCAAGCGAGAACGGGGCGACAAGGCATTTACCTCGCACTAGTGCGTGATCAATCGGGACGGCCAAAACGTTGATACATCATCATAACTCTGGGCGGGGGGGGGTACCTCGCACCTTTGCGCGGCATATATGTGTTTGAAAACACAATTGAAAACGCATCATTATCTACCAGCCCGTTTACTAACGCCCCGTTTGCAGGGGCTTGGTTTTCTGCCATGGTGGCGTGGCGGGGCCGGTGCTGGCAGCCACGAAGAAGCGGGCGTCGACTCATTGAGGGGGCGAGAACCCCAGACATCGGGCGTCTCGACAACATCGAGGCGAAGGTGTTTCACTGTTCTCGACCTCTCAGAGCCGTCACAGGCCTCGGGACCGCCAAGAAACGACTCGGGATGCAAAACGGGTCCCAGGAAAGTGGTCGAGAGGTCGGGGGCCCGTCTCGAACAAAAGCGAGACGCCAGACGCCCGCAGGGACTGGATGGGGAGACACGTGCACCTGCCGTGCCCCTCTCGGGCCCCCGGGGCCCCCCTCTGGGGCACGCTGAAGGTGCACCTGTCTTCGCCCCGCCGTGCATCGCCCCCCCCCCCCCCTGCGCAACGCCCGCAAGGAGACACCAACCTCGGCGCCGGGACTGGCGGCCACGCCCATCTTGGTCGCCCGAGTCATCCGGGGTAACTCGGGTCCGGGGTAAATCTGGTTTGGATTCCCGAAAAAGGAACCCGAGTTAGCCCTGACCCGAGTTACCCCTGATGATTCGGGGCTCTGGACGCCCGAGTTATCCGGGGTAACTCGGGTCCGGGGTAACTCGGGTTCGGATTCCCGAAAACCGAACCCGAGTTATCCCTGACCCGAGTTACCCTGATGATTCGGGGCTCTGACCCATCGGCCGCCGCTTACCATGCCTGCCCACGCGCCAGCAGGAGCACCCGTGGACCCGCGAAGCTCCTCCGCCCCGAGGCGGGAGCCGCGGCGGGCGCGCCGGCCGCGGACGCGGAGGCACGACCTCCACCACTGCTCTCCTTTGAGCGGGGACCGACCGTCCCGGCATTCCTGGCGGCCTACCGCACGTTCTTAGAGCCCAGAAATGCTCCAAAAACAAAGGCAATGTTCTTAGAGCATAAGCCCAAAGTGTTCAAACAACACAGACTCAGCCAGAAATGTCTAAGAACATCTCGTGCGAACCACTGAAAAGGTCCTTAGAACATTCGTTGATGGGCCTATAGGCGAGCCGGGACGCTTCGCCACTGCTTGAATCCTGCTCCTCTCTCTCTGTCTCCTGCTGCTTCCTCCCCTCGCCCCTCCCTCCTGCCCCGTCCAGCGCTCCTTCGTCCCGCCTCTCTACCGTGCGGCACTGTGGACGACAGCTCGCACGCCTACTCGCACGCTTCTCGCCATCGCTCGGACGTCCATTCCTTGTTTTTCTTTGGTTTCGTGCGTGTTTTTTTCGCCAAATGGTCAAGGATGCTCCTCGATGGTCCTCGCCGAGAAAAAAATGCACACGTCCGAGCGATGCCAAGGCAGGTGGGAGGCAGGGGGTGGGTCCGAGGCGGGGTGGGTCTGCTCCCACCACCTGCCGGATCGATCGTCGGGGGCCTCGACAGGGCGGTGGATGAGGCCGTGCTCTCCGGGGGCCCACAGTGCTTGGCCACCAGGGAGAAGGGTCAGGTTGGGCATGTCCCCCTGAAGGCGGGTTTTTGGAGGAAGCATGAAAAATCCGCAGGAAAGAATCACACATACTAAAACATCGTCCCCATACGATTCTTGACTCGAATGCTCCTCTTGTAGAGGGACAGGCCCGACTTAAGAGAAGGGGCGAGAGGAGGACAAGAGGGGAAGTCAGAGAAGAAACAGCTACAGGTACCGCTGCTTATCCTGGAGAGCCCTCGCGGCGACTGCTGGGCTCGCCTCGAAATCATGGTCAGAGTGCGTCTTGGGAGAGGACCAGGGACCAGCAGTATCGGTACTTTTTTTGTCTCCCCAGCCAGGGACGCGAGGGGATGCGAGGGAGAAGGGTTAGGTCAGGCATGTCCCCCTACAGGGGGAAGCTGGACGGAAAAAAAGCCAAACAATGCCCCAAACCGATCCACAAATACGCCAAAAGTCGTCACCATACTGTTGTATAAGTGAAACTTCCTCCTGTTCTTGGGACACGCCCGGGAGGGTTCGGGAGCGGCCAAGAGGGGGGTGTCCAAGAGGGGGGGGTGCAAATCATGACCGGCGGTATGTGCGCGGCCCAGCGTGGGGCCTGGGACGTAATGAAATAAGAAGAGGCGCCATGAAATCTGAGGAAAAATCATGGCCCCTGCACGGCCCCAGAGCCCCCCAAACCCGCTCCCAGACGGTCCAAGACGCCTCCAAGAGGGTCCGTACATAGCCCTCGAGGGCCCCAACACGTTCATCGGCGCGTGAGTTCCCCCTCCCCAAACCCCTCCCCCGGGAGCCCGGTCCGGTCCATTTGGAGGGGGGGGGGGTCCGGTCGGACGGCCCCGGACGGCCCGGAATCCCCCGGAGGTCTCATCCGCTCCCGAAAAACGTTGAAAAAACACGCGAAATTCGTGCAGGGACGCGTCTGGTAGCCTACGGCCCCGGACGGCCCGGACCCCCCCGGAGGTCTCATCCGCTCCCGAAAAACATGGAAAAACACGTGGAATTCGTGTAGGGACGCTTCTGGTGGCCTCGAAATGGGTTCGGGACGCCCCACGAGCGCTCCAAGACGTCCAAGTTTGCCCGAAGACGGGCCACGAGGCGTCCTCGACGGCAGAAGAGGTCCCCACGAGTTCCCCCGAGGGCCTCCGAGATGCGTTCCACAAGGGTCCCTAGACGCCAAAATTGGGCCATTCCCTTCGTGAAATGTACATTTTTTAGAAATTCAGCTTTGGATCTTTCCGATGCTCCCCGACGGCCCAAAAGGCTCCCAAACCCGCTCCCAGACGGCCCCAGAAGCCTCGCAGAGGGTCCCCCACAGACCCCTAGAGGGCCCAAGATGGGCCAACAGGCGTCCAAGACGGCCCAACACGGTTCCGAAAATGGCCCCAAGAGCGTTCCAGGAGCGCTCCGAGTTGCCTCCCCGAAGCTCCACATGGCCCCAGACGGTCCAAGAGCGATCAGAAACATCGACGACGACCTCCCGACGGCTCACGAGGCCTCCCCAGACGCCCCCACAGGCATCCAAGATTCCCCCCAAGAGGCCCTCTAGACGCAAAAAATCGTTCGTTTCCTTGTAAAACGTATATTTTTCACACGTGCGCCTTTGGGGGTGACCCCCGCTCCTGCACGGCCCCAGAGCCCCCCAAACCCGCTCCCAGACGGTCCAAGACGCCTCCAAGAGGGTCCGTACATTGCCCTCGAGGGCCCCAAGACGTTCATCGGCGTGTGAGATGTTCCCCCTCCCCAAACTCTTCCCCCAGGAGAAGGCAGAGGAGGAGAGGCAGGAAGAGGAGCAGGAGGGAGGAGCAGGGGGAGGAGGAGAGGAGGAGAGGGAGCCGATCATCGTCATCAGTGTCGTGATCATCAACGACGTCATTGCCATCGACAAGGTCAGCCCAAACATCCCCGAACATTAACAGTTAGCGGGACATCCCGCTTGGAAACCGCCGACAACCGTAAGATGTCTCCGGGGAGTAACATACTTCCCTGGCTCCGGCACCCGTGCAAGGCCCCAAACACAACCCAAAAAACCTCCCTGTGCCGTCTTGGGGTTCGCTTGGGCCGTCTGGAAGCCCTCTGGGCCAGTTTGCGACCCATGTCGGCTCCCCTTCTCGCTGTGACGGGCCCTGAACAGCCTCATTTTCTCACGGTTTGCAAGGAAGCTGTGGTGAACGATCCCGAGGAAAATCCAAGGGGTCGGCGGATGTGGCGGAAGCCTGAAGAATCTGAGGAAAAATCATGGCCCGCGCCATGATATCCACCCCCCCCCAGTCATCACCCCCCTCTTTTCCGCCCCCGAAAATGAAATTTCCTCCTGTTCTTGGGACACGCCCGGGAGGGTGAGACGCGCAGGCCTAGCTCCGGCAAGCTCGGGCACGCACGAACATACCGGAGCCTTCCGAGAGCCACCGGGCCTGGAGAATGTGCATACACGTGGCGCCGCGGCCGTTCCAGAAGCGCTCTCTCGAAAGCTGATCATCTTGAAGGGGCCCTGGGACACACACAAATGAATACACACAAATAAAAAGATGCCCCATATTTTCCCATATTTTCTGGGTTTCTGTCTTCCCCCCCACTTCCCATATTTTCCCATATTTTCTGGGAATCGACGATTAATTGTGTCTGTGTGTTTCTTTCCCTCCTGACATCTGCCGCACGCCTGAGAAGGAGGGGTTTGGGTCGGGGGCGAGCTCTGCGTGCCCACAGAGCCGGCGTGTGGCGAAGCCTTGGCCGACCACTCTGGTGGCAGCACAAGCGGCGGGGCACAGTGGCCGCACCTGTGCGGCCCCGCACCCTGCCTGCTCTTGCCCCCGGCCCCGACTCCATGACGCTCGAGCCGGCCGCCGGGACGGCTTGAAAAAACTGGATGCCCTCCCACACTCGGGAGCGGCCAAGAGGGGGGCGTCCAAGAGGGGGGGGTGCAAATCATGACCAGCGGCATGTGCACGGCCCAGCGTGGGGCCAGGGACGTAATGAAACAAGAAGAGGCGCCATGAAATCTGGGGAAATATCATGGCCCCCGCCATGGTATCCATCCCCCCCTAGTCATCACCCCCCTCTTTTCCGCCCCCGACTGAGGCAAGATCAGTCAGCATCGAACCGGGACACCGCATCGCATCTGGCCGCCTCGGTTCGGGGTCTAAATCGGATCGGCATGGGCCCTGGCCTGGTGGCGTCTCCTCCAGCGAAGAGTCGGGGATACGTAAGACTCGGGCTCGGGGGACCCGGGTTGTCCTGACGGGGCCAGTCAGCGAACACGACGAGACCCAGCCTGAAATTCGATACGAACTCTCGCCGCAAACACATCCCACGAAAACTGAAAAAGCGTCGGCAGGCCCGAGTTTCAGCGAACTCAAGTCTTGCCAGCGCTCGGCTCGGAAACCCATTCCCCCGTGCATGCTTCTGCTTCGTGCGATCGTCATCGCAGGAGGGTTCGAGATGCTCCCCGAGGGCCCTCGCCAACAAACAAAACACACGTCCGAGCGATGCCAAGGAGTCTCACGTTTCCCCGACAGAGAGAGGCAGTTCGAGGGACGGGGGCGGCCGCCACGCCCCTCGGGCAAGCCGCGGCACCTCCGCGGTCAGGGCCGCGGAGACCGACGGACCCGCCCCATCAGAGAAGCAAGCCGCCGGCGAGGGGAGGAGAAGGCGGGGCAGCCTATAATGGCCAAGCAGCAGCTCGGCGGGGCACGAGGTGGAGAGGCAAGGAGGAGGAGGAGGAGGAGGACGAGTGGGAGGAGGAGGAGGAGGAGGAGGAGGAGGAGGAGGAGGAGGAGGAGGAGGAGAGGAGGAGGAGGAGGGGGAGGAGGAGGAGGATGAGGAGGAGGAGGAGGAGGAGGAGGAGGAGGGAGGAGGAGGAGGGAGAGGGGAGGAGGAGGAGGAGGAGCACGGAGGAGGAGGGAGGAGGACGGAAGGAGGAAGAAGAGGAGGAGCAGGAGGAGGAGGGAGAGGAATTGGCCTGATGGTGCTGCTGCTTCGGCGCCGGCTGCGATGGCGTTGCGTGTGCGACGGGGGGCGCCTGCGCCGGGGGAGACTGCGGCACCTGCCGCACGCGGCCGCCGCTGCCACCGCTGCCGACAGAGCGCGGACAGGACGGTGTTGGGCATGGGCTGCTTCCCCCCGATCGTCCTCTTTCTCCTCCTCGCCGTCCTCCTCCTCCTCCTCCTCCTCCTCCTCCTCCTCCTATAGAGGCCTTCCAATGCTTTCCAAGCGAGGTTGGAGTAGATGGGGTCGGAGGATCGCGCCGCATCTCAGATGCATCGCCGATGCACTGGCGGTGCATCGGCGACGCTGGCCATTCATCGGCGACGTCGGCGTGGATCAAATCGGGCGCCACATCGAGCCGCATCGCCGATGCATCGGCGATGCGGCGCGATCCTCCTACCCCATCTATTTGTATTTGGACCCTGTCGGGGATGCCTATAATAATTCAACACGGGGACGGAGGAGCTGAGCGAGGGGCAACAGATCGGCGGAGATCTGGGACGAGCGACAACGCCGACAGCGCCGACCACCGACAAGCGGCGGCGTCTGCGGCGCGACCCTCCAGCCACAACGACGCCCACCGACCGACGGCTGGCGGCAGACGAATCACCACCGACGAAGACGTCGACGACGGCGACGTCGACGACGCTGGCGACGACTGCGACGAAAACGACGCGTCGAACGGCAACGACTGGTGGGGGGGGCAAGATGTACCGTCACGGCTGCTCCGCAACCCTCTCCTCCTCCTCCTCCTCCTCCTCCTCCTCCTCCTCCTCTCCTCCTCCTCCTCCTCCCCCTCCTGCTCCTCCTCCTCCTCCCTCCTCCTCTCCACCCTCCTCCCTCCTCCCTCCTTCCTCCTCCTCCGTCAAGGCGCATCCCGCCTCGACGTCGAGGGCGCACCAAGACAAGCGGGCAGCACAGGTGACCTCCTCCTCCTCGGCGAACACGGCGCGACGAACGACAAACCTCTGAGATCCGACGCTGCAAAAACACAACATCCCCAGCATTCACACTCGGAGCCCTGGACCTCATCTTTCCACGTCATGCCTCGAGCCAGATCGCCAGGCGAGGGTCCCGGGGCCCCAAGGCGGGCCCGAGATGCCCGCCGCGAACAAACGTCGCAACGCCCGGATCTCAGGGAACGCCGCCGACGACGACGACGAGGACTGCGAGGACGACGAGGACCGACGACGGCGATAGCGACTACGATTACGACGACGACGACGATGACGACGACGACAAACGGTAAAACGTGCTCCGAACATCGGTCCTCAGTGCTGGATCTTCGATCCTCGGCCCTCGACCCTCGATCGTCGCTGCTCGATCCTAGATCCTCGCTCCTCAATCCTCGGTCCGCGGTCCTCGATCCTCGAACCTCGAACCTCGAGCCTCGATCCTCGAACCTCGATCCTCGATGCTCGCTCCTCGGAACTGGGCGAGCGCCTTGAGGTTATAACAATCAGCAGCATAAACATAAACTTTCGGAGCCCCGCGCGGAGTTCTTGGATCGGCGCTGCATCCCCCTCCGTGGCGCTCGGAGCGCGCCAGAGGGGCACCAGGTGCGCCGCCAAGGGGGCCCAGCGCCGATCCAAGAAATCCGCGTGGAGATCCCGCAGTTTATGTTTATGTAGTTAGTATGCTTCGGCTCAAGCGACAACCGACGAGCAGGAAAGCCCAAACTCGAATCGATAAGTCAGATCGGCGATCGAAATCCATCGGATCGGTGGACATCGGCAGCCAAGTCGGAAGGAAACGAATCGGCGGAACTCGGCAAGTCAGTAAGGGCTCCGTGGAGGCATCGGAATCCACATCTGGGGAAGCCATAAAGTACCGATATCGCTACCCCCTGTGAGATATACGCTGCACTTCTTGTGTTTTGTGCAGAGCATGACTGTAGCATAGCGAGCGTACTGTTACGTTTTGGCCCAAACCTTTTAGTGCCCTGGAGTCGAGCGCGCCAGCGGTGTGAAGATATCATCATCTGTTAGTATGGCTTTTCATTGTTGTTGCCATCAAAGACTTCGGGGGCTTTGATAAGCTCATCTTGGTAGCGGAGCCTGGTAAGCCAGGCTTACGCTTCGACCTTCCATATCTCCGCGACCTCTCTTCGGATCTGGTCGCCGCCTCCATAAGCAGCTTCGATCTCCCAGCTGATCTCAGCTATGTCACAGCAGATCTCAGAGATTTTCAAGTCAATTTCTCGGCAGCCCACACACACACACGACCTCGCAGTCGTTTTCATAGACAGGGGCAGTTTCGATTTCGAGCAGTTCGAATCGGACGCCAACCCCTTGCAATTTCAGTTCAGCACGATGTCTAAGCCAATGGCGGACATGCTGCCGGAGCGACGGCACGCTCAGCAAATGGAAAGAACACGAAACTCAGATTGGAGAAGAAGGAGGGCGAAGCAGCTCTCATGCTCAGCGCAAGTCTCACAGGCGAAGCTTGGGACGAGGTTGAGGACCTCTCAGCAGACGAGGTCATCAAGCCCAACTCGGCGAAGCAGCTCACGGCCAGATTACGGAATCGTTTCAAGATGGACGACAGGACGGAGCTCGCGGACGATTTTGAGGAGTACTTCTTCAAACTCAAGCGGTACAAGGGCGATACGCTGTTCGCCTACATCTCAAGAGTGCGCGCTGCAGAGCGCAAGCTCAGGACGCACGACATCGAGCCATCGGCGAAGGTCCGAGGCTGGCTCGCGCTACGACGAGGAGGATACAGCACGGACCAGAAGGCGGTCATCATGTCAGTAGTTGGTAAGGATATCACAGATGATGAGGTCATTGAGGCGTTGGAGACAACGTTCGGGCAAGAGAGTATCATGTACGAACCGTATCGCGCACGGAAGCAGTATTTCGTCGACGAGGACACAGCAGAAAACGACGATGAGGAATTCTATGCTGGCGAGCCGGAGGACGAGCCAGACGACTACGACCAGACGTCCTGGGCGGAGGATGACGAGACCTGGTACGACTGCGACGAGAGCTATTACCAGCGCAACCCCAACACAGCTCAAGAGCTCGATCCAGGCGAGTACGACGAAGTCTACGCGGCGTACGCGGACGCCAAGAAGCGGTTCAACGACCTGAAGGTAACACGAGGTTTCTACCCGGTAGTGGCGATGGTAGGCGGAAATTCAGGTTCGGCCGCAGCATCAGCAGGAGGTTCACACGGACGAGGCCGGTCAAGCAGCAAAGGCACCAAAGGACGCGGCAAGTCCAGAGGAAGAAATGGCAGCCCAAAAGGAGCATCACCTCCAGGCGCATACAGCAGACCACGACCTACGGCAGCGGACCCAATGGGAAAGGCAAGGGCAGCTACGAAACCAATACCGACATCAACACCCTCGGCCAACTGCCTACGATGCGGCAAGCCCAACCACTGGGCTAGGGACTGCACCGAGCCTCCGAACAAGAAGCGGGTCCACACCGACGACAGCTTGATGGTCGATGAGGTCTACTGGGGCGACAAGTGTCATAGCAAGGCGAACGCCAGCGCAATGCCAGCAAGCAATGGAATCATGGACTGTGGAGCGACGACCCTCATGTCCGGCTCAGAGACGATCAAGGACTACGTGAGGGAGTGCCGACGTAATGGCTATCCCATCGAGGACCTCGGATTCTACAAATGCCGACGGCCTTTTCGGTCCGGTAACGGCAAGATCGAACATGCAGTGGTGTGGCACAATGCCTGCCAGCATCAAGCAGAAGTCAGGCACGCTCTGCATCTACGTGGTACCGGGACGTACGCACATCCTATTTCCGAGACCGTCGCTGGAAGTGCTCGGAGTTCAGGTCGACTACGCCAAGCAGACAGTTGCGTGGAAAGGCGGCGAGTTCGAGGCTTCAACGCTATCACCTCAAGGACACTACACGGTGGACCTCCTAGAGGAGTAGGACGGGAAGACGAGTCACCACACGAACGACTTCGAGTACGAGCCCGTCGATGTAGCGCAGTTCCTGGACCCCAGCAACGAGACCATGAACGGCATAGAGCTTCTGGACAACGCCTAACTGGCGGACTCCAGCGAGAACGGCGAACAGCAGGAGCAACCACAACGGCGACCTCACACAGAAGGCTGTTCCCTACGCGTAGTACAAGTTAGTTGCTGCAAAGCCTACATGAAGCAGTGGCAGTGTCGGCAGCATTCCTTATGTGGCAACCTGTGCTTCACTACGACAGCCATCGAGCCAGTCGACACCACGCTATCGGAGCCATGCTGGTGCCCAGCGTCACCTACGGCGGACTAAGTCAATTTCAACACCGACGACGACCCCGATGACGGTGTCAAACAGTCGACTAACTTCGTTCAGAAGATCGGCTCAGCCGTGAAGCATGCCAGCGACCAGTACTTACAGACAATGAGCACGGTAGCTCACCTACGGTGCACTACGAGACGGACGACATGGGAAGTCTACGCTGGAGAAACCAGACTTTCACAAGCACTTCGAGATCTAGGAGCACTCGTGGAGACGTTTGGGCTCAATACCGGTTGGGACTTCGCAAAGGAGGATCATCAGAAGGCATTCCTCAAGAAGCTGACGGAGGAGCAGCCTGACGAGGTTCATCTGTCACCAATGTGCGGACCCTGGTCCAACATGCAGGAACTCAGCATCCACCAGCACCCCGGTTGGAAGGAGTACCTCACCGAGCTACGAGAATGGCATCATCGAGTACATCTCCAAACTGGCCAAGGTATATCGCATACAGCAGCAAGGAGGGCGACATGCTCACATCGAACATCCAACTACGTCGAGGGCGTGGCATACCGTGGCGATCTTCCGCCTACACGGCGAACACAACACGTTCGACCAATGCATGTACGGCCATGCGATCGAGGGCAGCACGAACATGGTCAAGACGCCCACGACGCTTAAGACGACCAAGAAGCTCATGGCAGCGGTACTCAGCGAGCGATGCAACCGATCACATGAACACGACCTACTGGAGGAACAAAAGTTCACCAAACTCGCCGAGGACTACCCGTTCATCTTAGCAGCGACGATGTCGCAAGTCATGGTCGAGCCGGAGATCGAGGACATCTACGCAGCGGAG